CCCAGTAATTTGGGAGGCTGAGGCAGAAGGATGGTAAGTTCCAGGCCAGCCTCAGAAACTTAGCAAGATCCTGTCTCAAAATAAAAAATTAAGAAAAAGGACTGGGGATATAGCTCACTGGTAAAGTGCCTCTGGGTGCAATCCTCAGCACAACAAGAAAGAAAGAGAGAAAGAGACAGAGAAAGACAGAGACAGAGAAATACATCTGTACTGAATATGTACAGAATTTTGTTCATCATTATTTCCTAAGTAATACTGTATAACAACTATTTGTGTAGCAACTTACAGTGTATTAGGAATTATAAGTATTCTAGAGATAATTAAAAGTATACAGGAGATTATATGCAAATATTATACCATTTTATAAGAGGGACTTGAGTATCTCTGGGTTTGGGTATCCAAGGGGATCCTGGAGCGAATCCCCCAAGGATAACTAAAGATGACTCTACTTTGAAATAATCCAGTCTTCCGTGAATATCAGCTATTTAGTCTACCTTTTTTAAAACTTCTTTTAAATATTTTTTTAGTTGTCAATGGACCTTTATTTTATTTCTTTATATGCAGGGCTGAGAATTGAACCCAGTGCCTCACACGTGCTAGGCTCTGCCATTGAGCTACAACCCCAGCCCCTAATCCATCTTTAAAAGGGATTTTCGAATTTGTCATCATAACCTCATATATATTCTTGTTGGCTCCCATTTATGAAGCATTTGCCCTGTGCCAAGTGTGTCGTGAATTATCTCATTTTATCCTCAAGCAGCCCTACAGGCATGAGCTACTGCGATTATTCTTCTATTTGGCAGAGGTTGGGAGGCCTGCCGAAGCCAGAGCTGAGATGCCAGGCCAATATGATATGGAGGTTCAATGCCCAGTCTCCCAACTGCTATACCGTGTGCTCCCGTGGTGTAGCAGTTACCAAGAACTCTGTCTGCCTCTGTTCAGCAGCTGTGCCCCACTGGGAAGAGCTACGAGTCCTTTGGAACTCAAGAGATTCTTGAGTCTGTCCCTACTCTTGGTGAACAAAGAGTAGATCCAAATCTCCATCCCTGGTTTATCAGAGTCTGGGCTCTGCTTGATGGGATGGGTCCCATCCCTGATTTCAGGGGGGAAACCAAGCAAAAATAAAATAGAAGAAAAAAAAACTGGGTGGGAAATCCTGAGCCAACCCAGGGCATCAGAAGACGTCAGCCACAGAGAAACAGAAATCACTGAAGGAGTCAGAGCAGAAAGGAACTCCCTGGGGAAGCTATTAACAATTTAGTACGTGGGAATGTGGCTCCCACCTGCCAAAGAGACAGATCTGCCTGATGGAAAATACAGAGGCTGCCTCGCCTGCCTCGCCTCGCAGCTCCCCCTGGGCTGCCTTTCAGTCTGGCTCCATCTGCAAGTCCCAGGAGGGAGGAGGACCATAAAGATAACCATAAAATAATAACCACTTACATTTGCAAAGTACTTTTGACTTTCCAAAGCACTTCCAGATTGATGACTTCATCTTATCTTGACACCATCCGGATACATGGGGAGGTCAGGTTTCATTATCCTCATTTGATAGCTGGGAAGACAGAGAGTGCCTGGGTGAGGTCCCCACAGACACAGAAGGTGAAAGAGACAGGATGGGAATGATCCATCTGGCTGTTTGAGTTACACACCAGTTTTCACGTGGGTCTCACTCTT